AAGTAGCTTTTCCACCTTGTAAGGGCGTCGTTACCCTGCAGGATGGCGATATCCTCGGCGGTATATATCGAACCACTTACTGCCAGCGTCGTCAATCGATGATTTCCTCCTCATCATTATCAGAGTTCAAGATTACTTCTTCTTTTTGTACCTCTTCAGAAAGAGGATCTCATCTCTTCACAATAAAAGTGTTGGATTGATTTCATAATCGTCGTCAAACCGTGTTATAGAGATATTAGTAGTAAATCAGGTACCACCCCTCCTCTCACTCCTCCTCCTGGCTCTTCTCCGGTGCGGTCTTTCTTTGGCAAAGCTGGAGGATGTTGCCCGCACCTAATTCTCTTACGCTTCATCTGCGAGGAAACAAAACCCCAGACTGCAGGACAGTTTTACCCCCAAAGCCATAAGATCTGGCTAAACAGCCTGAGCTCTGCTAAGTGCCCAACGATAAAATTCCTGTTTGTCCACTTGCAAATCTAATTATTTATAGGTTATCAACCGCAATAAACCAGGTATTAATTTTGTCTTAATTTAATATTCTGTTCTTGTACATATTATAATTCTATTGACATGTATAAGAGACTTTTTTTGCACTTAACTATTTTATATTTGGCATTTTATTATATATGTTGATATTGGTTGGAGGTCAGAAGAATTGCATTGCCATTTCTACACTGTAGCTTTATTGCATATGAAAATAAAACTTTTGAATCTTGAATAGGCAAAAATAAAACATTTATATCCGAACATCTTTTGCTTCCAAGATTCATTTTCATCATCAATTCATTTGACTGATCATTTTTCTAATGAAAATGTTGGTCTTTAAGAATGTAGAGACATTGACAAATGTGGGATTTTATTTGTGTGTATGGAACATATTATATAGACAACCCTAATCATTGAAAGCATACATGCTCATAAAAGTTAACTATTCATGCGGTGGAATGTTCTCATTATGGGAATCCTTGCACCTGTTTAATTAGGAAGGAGTTAAATATAAAGAATACGCAGTGGTCAAACACCATTAAAAGGACACTAGGCAGAACGTAAACAAACATCATTAAAGATAATCTACGGCGAAAATATCAACAGAAGTATAGATTGAGTAGGCGTGAATTCAGGATGGTGGAAGAAATAATTGTGTCTACGTGATAGAGAAAGTCAAGGTCAAGAAGGAGGGCCTGAGACCTCTCCTGGTATCTTGGTACGCTGAGACCCCCTACGCGTGAGAGGCAAAGCAACTGGTAAGAATGAATATAAGAAGAAAGCCGTAACATTGTAAAGCCAGTCACTCATGGACCAAACTCGTGTTTAGCTGTACTCTGATCTTCAGTAAACTCTATTCTATTGGAACTCTTTTGACTGTTGAATTTTTTGAAAGTTAAATCAGTGTTAACATAGTGTTGTGAAGATCTCGAAGACATTCCGCACACACTTCAGAGGTTTTCCACAACACAAATGTAATCCCAGATTGTCAATCGAAATAATATCATGACAAGATCAGAAAATCGATTCTTACACAAATAATCTAAAATGTGTAAAGTCCTTGTGTGAAAAAAGATGAGTATAAGTGTCAGAATTGTATCACAATTATGGTTGGTAAATAGTTAACCTCTCCTGTTTGATCTTTCATTTCAATACCTGAACATTTTACCATCAAGTCTTTCAGATGCTCGCTAAAGTAGGAGTTAAAGGTCCCGTGTCATACGCTTTTCCGGTTATATACCATCCTTGTGTGTATTATGAAGGTTTTCGGCATGTAACGGTGTGCAGAGTTAAATACCCATAAAGTACAACCTGTAGCGAGTAAAACTCTAACACGAGAAAATACCCCCCAAACTGCCTCTTGGTGAAACGTCAATCTCCATTTGATTCTTCCGGGTACGTGCTTAAGAAAGCACCGTCCCGGAACTAAATGAGCAAATCCGTGGAGCCGTTACGTTACGTCGGCGGAGCGTTACGTTAACGTCCGCTGGAGCCGTTACGTTTAGCCCCCACTGATTGGTCAAATTTGACATCCACAACAACACTCAGTGCATGCGCTCTGCTGATCTCCCTCCTGGCTGCAGGCTGATAACATACCGTTGGATGCGGCGAATTCTCTCTGCAGGACCACATTCTCACGCGTTTATCAAACTATAGAACTTTTTCTACTCAATATCAACGCCGACACTTATTGTTTTTATTTCGCTCGTGACTTTTGTGTGTGTTCAGTTGGTTTGGCTGTGTTTGGCTTTGGTATCGCTAAACAAGGAAAATCACACCTCCACGGATCAGCCGCGATCGTACCGACAATCAAGAGCACACTGGCTCACAGGGATGGGGGGGGGGGGGGGAGAAAGTGTACTGCTGAATACACATACTTTACAGAGATGCTGTATGCGAAACCAATGTGAGTTTGGAAAATTGCACAGTATAAATCTATTCTAGTAGACCTCAACAATGGAATTATGATCAGTGGAAATGGCCATGACATGGGACCTTTAAACAAAAAACATTGTTGGAGCTATATATTGCTTTATATTATTCAGTAGTTAACATTTTATTTATTTTTTATTTTCAGTTTTACTACTCTTTGATTTTGGTGGCTACAATCATCATGGGAGGAGAAACATGATAGGTCTAAACAAATGTTTTTATTTGAGAAATTGCTGGTGAATGTGTGCTTTTCACTTACTCTTGACGGTTAGTGTGTGATGTGTGTGTGATGTGTGAGCGCCCACAGCCGTATCTCTTTTACATCAAGACTCTGAACATGTGACTCAAATTCCCCTTCTCGTAATTTTCCGCTACTGTTTTTAAATTAGTTACAAATTCACATTTATAAGTCATTATATTAATATAATCAATTATACTCAATTCAAACTGGTTTGTAATTGATACCAAATAAATCCTTTTTTCTACACTTCTGTCTGTAATATCATCATGCCCTCGTGTTTGCATGCAAGCAGGGAGGAGATCTTTAAATCTCTACCATCTTAATATGATTTTAATTTAAAAAGACGGAACTGAACCTTTTGATGTCTGAAAACAGCATCTGTTGCCTTTTTTTCATGGAAATGACTCAAGCGATTAACCAATTATTTTTCCGTCTATTAACTTAGCAATTGTTCAACGAATTGCTGCTGCTCTAGCCGCACTAACCAGCGTAACTTGGTAACATAAGTGTGAGTGAGTGCAAGTAGATCTTACTGAGTGTAGTTCAGATGCAGAGGTGAACCCCGGCAGCTTCTCTGTAAAGGAAGAAGACGACAAATTGTCCGTAGAATCACTGCTGTCCGCCTTGCCGTCATCACTTTTTCCTCCAGGTCCTGTCCTCTTGAACTCTGATACCTTCCAAACAATAAAAACCATGTTAGAAACGTATCTTCCTGATGCTGTGAGAGGAAGAGCAGTGAGTGTTTACCCTCTTCAGGATGGCAGCTTTATAGAGGTTGGAAGACCTACTCTTCTTAAAGACCTCATGTTCTATGTTGACCGCTACAGACACAGTATCGCTGCGGAGAAACGGAGAAGATATGAAAGACTGTGGGGTGAAATAACATACTGTATTTAAAGCATGTGTCTGTGTAATTACTTGAACATGTCATCTGCCCTCTGGTGGCCATATACTGCTTCCTGTAATAGGCTCAAGCAGTGCTCTCTGGCCTGAAATACAAGACAAAAAAAAGGTTCATGAATAAATAAATAAAATGTCCAAAAGATTCCAAACTACTACTGGTTTTTCATCCTGTAGAAAGCCAACATTTTATACCAATGTTTGAAGGACTAAAACGTGATCTGTTTAATGTATAAACCATCTTTTTAACAATATCACTTTTAGTGTTATGCTGTTGAACCGTTGGCTCTACCGCCCGTCTTCACATCTCATGACACGAGTCACTGAATTCCTGGAGAAGTGTGAATGAGTGCTGCAGGTATGAGGAATGCGTGCTGCGTTCAGGTACCTTTACAGTGAGTCTGGGGATCTTCTGACTGCTGGCGTCTCTCAGTTGGCAGTCATCATCTACACAGCACGATACAGAGGTTATATACGACATAAAGATTGGAATGGATAACATTTTATAATAATTGTATTCTTCTAGTGCCGTTTACCTGGAGGGACAAAGCCTTCCTGCCGAACGGTCATTCCCTGAAGAAACATGAGAACAATCAGAGGGTCATTATAAGATTGTACAGAGAAATGAGTCGGGATGGGTATCATTAGGATTTTATCGATACCGCTTATCGGTATTTTTCGAAACTCTTATCGATACTTTTCAATAATTTGGTTCTCAAAATTAGAGACATGAATACAAGATGTGAAGATTAAACAGTCATTTTATTGTAATTTTCTTGCAGAAATAACTATATAACTTATACATTAGCTTCACAGAAGCAGACAAAAATAAAGAAAATAACTCGCCTGGCTCGCCCTATCATGCTTTTTGGGGTTGTCCCTCAGACAGAGGATGAAAAGAGGCATTTTTTTAAACATTTCAAACTGACAACCTAGCTCGACAAGAGGTCCTTAAAACATTGTCCTACAGTGACATCATGCAAAACTGTGATATGAAGAAATTGGTAAAAAGGCTAAGATGGAAAAAAGATAAAGGCGAGTACATATATTATTCTGGTTTGACATAATGAGTTGTGCTACTTTTAAAGCAAGCAGCGATGTTTTCAAATCTGTAACCAAAAAGCTCCTCAAAACGCAATCGAAGTAGTTCCTTCCGTTGCCACGTTACTTCAAACAGTAACAACGGACTATTTTTCTTAGCGGATGCATGTCAATTTAAATCAATACATACAACTATTTTCTAAATCCATAAAAGCATTTCAATTAATATTGGGAGTCATATACCCCATATGTGGGATAGCAAGTTCAAACCCAGCTGCACTCAGCATGTCATTGTGTCCCTGAGACACTTCACCCCAAATTGCTCCTGTGGGGATTGCCCACAGTATTGAATGTATGTAAGTCGCTTTGGATAAAAGCGTCTAACAAATGACAGCGCCATTCACCTCTTCCTACATCATATCCTCCAAACCGGCATACCCAAACCACACCCATTGCCGGAAGTGATAAACAATAATAATTAAACGTGATGCAAACAGAAATGAAGATACAAATATAAGTCATAACATAAGTAATGGTAAAACAAGCATTATGGCTCCTACAGTTACGTTGTTAGCGTGCTACTGCTAGCACTATTAGCACTAGCAGTATCGCTAGCAGCCACATTGTTTAGGCTGTCAAATACGCTGCACCGTTTTAAGATTCAATGATTGTCTCGTTTGCAAATGCTTCATTAAGTTGCTTGTGTTACCCCCTTTACAAGCAACTAATTGAGTACATAGATTGCACCTTGCACTATCGCCACAAAATTTATTTAAAAGTGAACCCAGACCTTTGTTCGCTTAGCTCTGTTCGGCATACCTGCGGGAGTCTCACAACAATAATAAGAGGCTAACACATCACATATACCGATAGCAAGCCCCCAGGAAGTGCGCCGGACTCAGATGAAAATATTCGTGGTGGCCAAACGGTGGTACTACACTTCCGTTTGTTTGCCAGGCCCGGAAACACTTTTTCCCATTGACTTACATGGGGAAAGAATGGTCTGTAAATCGTTGGATACTTTTTTTTAAACTAAATAAACTACCGAGTATGAACCATGGTATGAACACTTGTATAGCCCTTATTAAAAACATTCGTTCCCCAAGTTGTAAAAATGTGCTAATAACGTTATTCTGAGAGTTATTTCCCTCTGCATTATGAACGCGCATCTAAACCACGGGACCGCGCCGCCCGGCATGTGATGTGACGTGTTCAGCACTAGATGAGTTTTACCTTTACCCATGGATGCACAATAAGAACGGACCCATATCGCCTTACTGCCAGCCCACGGAGCTGTAATAATGGTTATATTGCACATGTTTGCTGTAATTCATAATTTGTAAAATATTATACTACATGGGCTGTGTATGATGTAAATCTTGTATTAAATAAAGTTAATATTACCGACGTAGGTTAACGTCCCTGTAGCTTCTTATTGCACTTGCAATGAATATACCATTAAAGGAGTTGAGCGTTGCTGTTTGCTATTACTATAATACCACGCAGGGATAAGCCAGAGTTTACAACCTTTGCATGTCGGCACAACACGTTTGGACCCAGATTAATTAGCTATACCATATGATATCGCCCGAGGAAGTCATCATACTTATATACATATATAAATAAAGATATATGTGTCAAAGCTCTAATCTACGGAGCCCCCCTGGTGACATTGGTGAGAAAAATATACGTATTAATAATGCGTGGCCACGAATTAGTTATTATGTTCCCACAAATTAGTAATGCGCACAGCATAACAAACATGTGTTACATCACACGAGCATAAAAAACTAAAGAGGGGCTTCCATATCCGGCAGCTACAACACCTGGTCTGCCGGATATGGAAGCCCCTCTTTAGTTTTTACCTGCTTGACCCAGAGTAACATGCTTTTGTGAGCACAAACTAGAGGGGAACAGCCAACACCAGTGTGATTTTGGTGACGTAGTGACTGTCCTGGACAAAGTTTTAGGGGGGGTGCCATATCTGGCAGGAGAAATACCTGCTCTGCTGAACATGTTATGTAGAGAACAGTGCAGATCTTCCCCATTGACACCAGGAAAAACCTAGTTTAAAATAAGGAACATTAATAGTGTGAGGCTTTAGGCTTGATTGAAAATAACACATTTGTCTGACATCATATATGTTATATCATTACTGTTATATCATTGCTTAGTATTTGTGGTTATCCAGTATCAGGCATTTGGGAAATATAGAATTCAAAAGAGAGAAAAAAGCNTCCTTGAAAAAAAATAAACAATGTTTTGTTGCTTAAGCTTATGTATTCAGTCATTATTCAATGGTATACTAAAATCCATGTGAAAAAAATTGCTTCTCACTGTTCTCAGGTCAAATATTTATATGCGATTAAAAATGCGATTAATTGCGATTAATTAATTACAAAGCCTGTAATTAATTAGATTAATTTTTTTAATCGAGTCCCGGCCCTAAAAATAACACATTTGTCTGACATCATATATGTTATATCATTACTGTTATATCATTGCTTAGTATTTGTGGTTATCCAGTATCAGGCATTTGGGAAATATAGAATTCAAAAGAGAGAAAAAAGCGTATTAAACTAGGCGAACGCTCAATACAGGCGATGACTTCACGTTTGCGCGTCCCCGCGAACAGGGCTTCAATCTACGGCAAGCCTTCCATCTGCGGCGCAACACCGGTTCTCGATACCCATCCCTAAAATGACACACTTCCTTTAACTCTGCTAGAATAACACTTCAGACTTAACCTTAACTCTGCCAAAATAACTGATTTTAGTGTTCAGTTTTCTCCTTATTTTCCTGTTATTTTCTCATTGAGCACAAGCCTTGAGAACCAAGTGAGGAAAAAAATAATTAATTTAATGTATTTGTCTTCAATTTAAATAGTTTATTTTGTGTGTTTGACTTAAAAGCAAGGGGAATTTGTAGGCGATTCTACTTTTTTTGTAAGGATCAAGTGTTTGTAGTTGTAATGTTGTAAATGGTATTCATTTCTGATGTAGGTTGAGTTTAAATTCCTTTTTGAGCTCTAAACACAAGGAACTACTTATATTGTGAGTGAGCAAGTTATGTAAAACAAACCTCATATGGCAAAAGCACAAATTATTTGATTCTAAATTTGAAACATGGGGTAGTGGTGCACTTTAAACTCCTGGCCAAAGTGAGTACTACAACAACAAACACCATAAACAAACTAAGGAATATAGAGAATATCTTCATCTGCAGCTTTAAACAGTCACTTCCTTAGTTTCTCATAAAAAAAGATCAAAAACTGTGGAAATCCTGAGTTGGATCAGTTCATTCTGATTCCAAAATGTTTCACAGCATGATAAAAGGTATCTTCTGCAGAATATTGATTTTCTTCCCCGTTACAGGATGATCCATATGTTTCCAAAAAGACATATACTTCAGGTATGGCCATCTTGGAAGCTCACATGAGATTAACATGTAAACCAAAAGATCAAACACATGAAGAGCTTTAAAGGGAGGTCTGAATAGTGTGTGAAGATGGCATGAAAAAACTTCTTATGTGATTGTTTATGCCAGTTTTTTTCTACTATTTTACGACTGTGCCATTCCTATTTTTATCGATGATGTGTTTTGAAGTAGAAAATCTCTTCATGGACCTACGGACAAATAGTTCAACATCAATGTTTGAACATGTGGGAGTGATTTAACACAGTCCTCTCGAACAGAGGGCCTCAACCGACCTTCCTGCTGCCAACAGCTGGCATACAGAAGCACAAAAACAAAACGCAAACACTGCATGGAGTGGCTTTTCCAGGAATAGAAAATATATTTCTTAAAGACAATATTTCTGTTGATGATTTTGATTTACCTTCCGCATGGTCATCTGCTTCTTGTAGAGGTTACCAAATTCCTTTTTCCTCGCTGAGCCATCGTCTTCACCACCCTCCGCGTCCTCTTCCCCTTCATCAAACCTGCAAGGTGTGACGTCAGTGTCAGTCTAAGGTTCGCTATACTTTATGTTACAAACGTCACTAACTTCCTCCTGCCTTTCAAAGCCGTAGCCCTTCTTCCCTCCTTCGTAGAAGCCCTGCAGGAAGCCGAAGGGTCCTGAGGGCTGGCTGCTCTGGGCCTTGGTGTTGGTGCTGAGGGAGCTCCCTTTCTCCAGCTGGGCTCGCACCAGCTTGGGATTACGGCAGAAGTCGCAGGCACCGGCACAGTTGGGCGCCTTGTTCCCAAAGAACTTGGAGATGGTGGTATGGCGACAACTGGTGAGAAAATAGGAGACACAGCTTGTTAAAATCTTAAAAAGGCCCTATAACTTGATAACTAACATATAACTTTGAGAACCTGTAAAAGCGCTAACAAAATAAATAAAGTCTATTATAGCTAGGGATGCTCCGATCGATCGGCCGATACTCACTCTCTGCCGATCGATCGGAGCTCTCTAAAAATGCAGATCGCGAGAGCCGATCGCATAACGTAAAATGATGACGTAAAATACATGACACTTTTCTCTGTGCGCGGCAAAACAAGCTCGCCAAAATGTCTTCACCAGTCTGGCAGTATTTGAAGGTGTCCGAAAATGACAATAAAATAGCGGTATGCAACGTGTCTGAGCAGAAGTCCTGCAGCTCCACCCGCTCTGACGGACCGGTGAGCGGTATTATACCAAGTTAATGTAAACTTGAATAATGTACTTCATTTGAATGTAATAATTATGTTGGTTGTTGTTTGTGGAAGTGCCAGTGAATGAGCCCCATTAACTGAGTTTTAAACATCACTTTAAATGGAAGATCCCCATCATTTGTGAGAGAGAAACTATTTTGGATTGTAGCCTTTGCAGACCATTCACATGCTCAAAAACCTATATAACACTACTCTACAGGAAAGGGAAACCCCTACGAAGGGAAACCCCTACGAAGCTTAATAGGGCCTTTTTTATACAAGTCAGGATATTAAAACAGCGAGTGAGTTGAAAAACATTCACAGAGTCTGAATTTGGTTACAGAGTCTGCATTTACAAGGTCGAGCCTGAGGATGTTTTTGAGCACACAGCAAACATCTCTCTATCATACGGGGACCATCTGGTGCATCATTGATCTGTTAGCTGTTGTGTAATCACACAATACTGTGATCAATGCTTCTGTTCTTTTTCAAGTCAAACAGGATCAGTCCAATAAAATAAATACAAATGACTGAAAATAAACAAGCTACAGTAATACACACAAAGTTATTAGCTATAGTATTGACTTCTTTGTGTACTGATAACAAGAACAGATAGTGTAAACTTAATCTATTTTGGGAGGTGATTTGTCTTACTTTCCTGTATCTTCAGGGTTTTTTAGGACACAATGCAATTATTTTTACCATCACAGCTTTAGATGCAAAAACATTTTTAGAACAAGGCCACACACTTCTACATCAGATCCAGTGTTACGTATAGGGTTGGGAACCGAAACTCGGTTCCATATGAGAACCGATAAGAAAATGCCGGGTACCCATTCAAAATACACCATTTCGGTTCTGCTTAACGGTTCCTAAACGCGGTAGACCCTGTATTCCACCGGGTCCGTCTACGCCGCGGTGACCCGGTGGAATACAGGGTAAGGGCGGACTGGCCATCTGTGTGTTCTGGAGAATCACAGAACGGCTGGTCGTCAGCGGGCCGTTGACAGCCGGCTCGGTTTGCTGACGGCACAGTTGCCCCGCAGCGAGGCTCCCCCCGCCCTCCAGTAGACAGTTCACGAGCTCAGTCACTTCATAACACCAAAGATGGATCGCGGTAAACGCTCTAAAGTGAGGCTCCACTACACTAAAAAAGAAAAAGACAAGGCACAGTGTTCGTAGATAGTTAATAGCTTGCCACAGGCATAGCTCAGTTAAAATAAAGCACAGCCATATTGCAATACATTTGTATTGCATGTATATTTTTTATTTGTAAAAATGTCAGTTAAAGCTTAAAAGAATATATAAAAAAATATATTTTTGTTATCTAAACATTTGACCTCTTTCTTTTACAATTGAAACGGGGAATCGATAAGAACCGGAATCGATAAGCGGAATCGGAATCGATACATTTTAAACGATACCCATCCCTAGTTACATAACAGCCAATATTCACACGACCACACACTCTCACATAGCGTCTGTTTGGGAAACAGCCCATTAGAGAAGCCACTTCAATAACATACGAACTACCTCGCTGGAAATGGAAACGTCGTCTCCACAGTCGTGAAAAAAAAGGGAAAAGCATTTCCAACAAAAGGAGGTGGGGAAAGGAAGGAGGCACACAAATACTGAGAGGCAACAGTCACTCCCAGCGAGGACTGGCACAGAGAAAACAGACTCAGAGGAAGTAAAGTTAGGAGCAACCAACAAGCGTGAATAAGAAGAGACGAGCAAGAAACCAGAGGAGCAAGAATAGATTAAGAGGACAGGAGATTTCATGTTATGTGTCCTCTCACTTTTGCTCGACTCCACATGCAGAGTATCATCAGTACCTGAGGAATTATCCCTCTAGCCTTAATCTCTACCTGCTTATCTCCGGCTGCTCTGGGTTTCAACAACAAACTAACACGCTGACAAATTCAACACTCAGCAGGTAACTCCTTCGGGGAGGACATGTCATGTTCATCACTAACTCGTCTGTTTACTCCTCTTTTGTATTTTTTTCAGTCAGTCTGGGCTGGGCTGAGCGTGTGAAAACAACTCTCTCGGGTAAGTACATTTTGTTTTGAGTGTGTCTGTAAAACATGAAGTTTGAGAAGCGAAGCACCTGAGGAGGACTCAAGGTTAGGAGGAATGTGAAGAATGTGTTCAGAAATACAGAGTTGTTGCTAGGTGCTAACACTCGGAAGTTAAACCAGCTTGTTACTAAAATATAACTGTAGTTTACCAATTGCATTTAAGTAGGATGTTTAAGGAGCTGTACAGTAATTGAAAATAAAGAGTGGGTCAAATGATGGTTGAAGAGGCAACGTTTCAAGTATTTTGTCGGACAATTATAATTATTTAAAGTATGAATTTAACATAAAAGGATGAAAACAGGAACTCAAATCAACACGCAACCACAACTGACTGTGCAGAAATTGTCTTTATCAGTCATTATCAGCTGCCACTTCCGCTTTCCAACTATCTGACTTTTTTGTAAATGATAAGAGCTTGTGGTTTGATATCTGCATGTTCAGGAACTCAAACTACCCTTCAAAATGAAATATAATGCCATTTAACAGTAATGCAGTAAATCTTCATGTCGGTTATTGTATACAGTTTCTTTTTGAACAGTTATACAGAGGTGCTGACTCAGCTTTAAGCTGAGTCAGCACCTCTGTATAACTGTTCAAAAAGAAACTGTATACAATAACCGACATGAAGATTTACTGCATTACTGTTAAATGGCATTATATTTCNTGCACGCAACAATGGACTGGCCAGTAGGGCTATACGTTCCTGCAGTGTGGAGATGAGGGGGGGTATGTGAGTTGCTCTTGGGCAGAAGAGCACACAGGACGTCACCAACATCATTGGCTTTATTGTCACTGAGCTGATAGCATGGCGTTAGACTCCAGTCATTTTAAACCCTATTCTCTGCACCATTTGACCAGTCTCCTTCTCATCATAAGCTGTACTTGCTGCACACTTTTCTTGAAGTCTCCAGGGGANTTAATACAGCTACACCATTGTTTGGTTTCCATGGTAGCGCTTCTCTTTAGTAGCGCGCGGAAACTGAAAGTCTGAGAGGGTGTTCAGCACGGTGAGGAAGATAGTCACAGAAAACAGAACAAGAATCGACAACTCGACCCTCTGCTCACTCCTTTCCTGTAAAACACAGGTCCAGCCCACACATGTGCTCCATCAAGGATGGTGCTTCAGGCCGCAAGGCAGTGCACTTACAGCTACAATAAGCATGTTAATGTTAATCTAATACAGCTCCGGCGGTGGTTTTGAAATCCTCTCGATTTCTGAGGTCTCAAGGTTGGCAAGTATGGTGCAGGGGGAAGAGGCTCTAAAAAGGGGTGGCTTAAATGGAGTGGCCTCTTTAAATAACCCTCAGGGTTTGAGAGGAATGGCGTAGTCCAATTAGCTGACACATCTATAAAGGCAGGTGTTTTCCATCAGCTCAGCCTTTTGCCAGAAGCAAGGTGAGCTGTAAGACACTTTAGGATGTGTGTTCGTTTGTGAGAATTGTAGCCCTCACACATAGCTAATATAAGAAAACTGATCATTGCAGATTCAACCATTAAATACTGAACTCACCTACCCTCTTGTTTTGGATTCTTCCAGTCACCAAACAAGCCCACCATTCCTCAGGAGAAAATCCGACCATTGACCAGTTTGGACCACCCACAGAGCCCCTTCTACGACCCTGAGGGAGGGGCAATTACTCCCATCGCCAAGCTGGTGATGGAACGCATCGCTAGAAAGGTACAATGTAGTACAGTATGTTAAAGTAAGAATGCATGTTTAAAGAAATAAAAACACAGAAAAAGACCATGTTCCACGTTTTTATACAACTTCCAAACATTTACAGCAATGTTGCCAGAGGTAGACTTTTGAGAAATAAATTGGAGAAGAATGTCGCAAGCCAAGGATTGAGTATCCTACCAATAAGAGTGCAATGTTTAAAACACAAGTATTAGTAAGTTACATAATACAGCAATGTTGCCAGCTTTAGCGAGTCGCTATCCGGCGTAACCGATCCTAATCCTAACCCTAAATCCAGAATTACAAATACTTATATCTCATAGGTAATAATAATAATAATAATTTCATAACATAAAAGTAAAGAAAGGTAAAATGTACATCAATATAAAACATTGTATGTATCTTTCATTTGATGTCCTTCTTAAATGGAACAAGTGTCTAGGAAACCCAAAGTATCTTTCTGAATTTAGGGTTACAGTTAGGATAGGGTACATTGGATGGCCATTAGCTGGTGATTTTTTGTTCATAACTTTCTACCTGTGATTTAAACATTGCAACACACTAGTAGCATTTACATAAAAGTTGGCTTTTCTAATCTCGTAAAACTCACATGACCTTCACAACAGGAATCTGCATTGAGGTTTCTGATTGCAATCCTAATGTTGGCTCCAAGAACTGCATTGACAATCCCTACTGTAACCATGCTTGCCCAAAATACATGGAATTCCATTTACACATAGACACAGCCAATGGTGATCAATAGAACAAAAAACATTCAACGGTTAAATCAAGAGTTTAGGCTTGAAGATAGTTTTGTCTTTTAAGAAGCTAGGGCTACATTTGTGTGTGTGATGGATGTTACCCCAGTTGTCTTTGTGTGTGCAGGGAGAGCAGTGCAATGTGGTCCCAGACAACATAGATGACATCGTAGCTGATATTGGACAGGAGGACAAGGAGGAAGGTACTGTAAACACACACACACACACACACACACACACACACACACACACACACACACACACACACACACACACACACACACACACACACACACACACACACACACACGCACAGACTTTCATTTACGGATCTTCCGTAAAAGAGCCCAAACTAGACACAATTAATTTACTCTAAGGCAGGGGTTCTCAAAGTGCGGCCCGCGGGCCAATGGCGGCCCTCGGAAATGTTTCTGGCGGCCCGCGATAGTTAACCTGTTAAACCCCAAGTACAGTAAAATTATTGATGGTCCATCAATCCATTTTTGTGCAAAAATCGGAGAAACTAAATGATAGCATTATGGTAGCCACCGGAGGCTAGCGCAGCTTCCGGTTCCTCTACGCGTCACTCTCACTCCTTATTTGGTAACCTGAATCTCGCGAATCTCGCAAATCTCGCAAATCTCGCGAGTTGCAGTTAAGCGGAAAATCTGTTGTAAGTTATCAGAAACGGGAGTTAGCTAGCGATTTTAGCTAGTCACTGTCTGTAGATAACCCAACTTTGTGTCCTCTGAGACTGAAGGAGATGTTGCATTGTTTTTGTTGCCTTCGTTGTAGTTTTATGTGTATTTTGGATTTAATTTAGGTTAACTTCCAGTTCCGTTTGCATGCTTTTATTTTGAAGGCGAGATAACGTGTTTGACAGGAAGTTGTGGTGGCATCGGAGACAACTAGACAGATAAAGTAGTGTCTGCTATGTAACGGCAGAGAAAGAGTGTGTGTGTTTGCGTGTGTGGTTAAGTATATGAACGCACACAAAAGTCCGGTTATACAATAATAAAACAACAAGCTGTCTCTCCCAACGTCCACACTCAGGCACACTGTTATTTCCACTGAATACCCCCAGCGCGAGCATCCCCAAACTCACTCCCTGATTGGATGCACGTCCCAAAGGCGGCAAAGTGTTCACGTGAACAGCGGAAACAAAATTTGTTGGAAGTTTTCGTTGTGTAAGCGAGATGGAGGAGCCAGGGCCGTCGCGTAAAAAACATTTTGTCAGTGAGGAGAAAAGGAAGTTCCAGGAGAAATGGAGCAACGCTTACTTCGTTTTACCTCAGGGTTCGGATAAAGTGATATGCCTCATCTGCAAGCAGGTGAATGCAATGCTCAAGGAGTATAACATAAAACGCCATTATGATACCAATCATAAAATGTATGACAAGTTCATGGGCAAGGAGCGCAGAACTAAACTTGAACAACTTCAAAGAGGTTTAACTGCCCAGCAGTCAGTTTCACAAATCTGCAAAATCCGGTGAAGCTGTAACACAGGCTAGCTATGTGGTAGCTCACGAAATTGCCAGGCGGAGCAAGCCGTTCAGTGATGGAGAATTCGTGCGAGACTGCATTTTGAAAGTGGCTGACATTGTATGCCCTGACACAAAGTCAAAGTTCCGTGACATAAGTTTATCGAATGACACAGTGACACGACGAATCGAAGATCTGGCCAATGATCTCAAAGAGCAATTGGGACTACGTGTGGAAGGCCTAGGCAAGGGGTCCTTTTCTATAGCACTGGATGAGAGTACAGACATTTCTGATACTGCACAACTGCTAATTTTCATTCGAACGGTCACGGAGGACTTTGAAATAGGCGAGGAACTGCTAAGCATGGAGAGTATCAAAGACAGAACAAGGGGAATCGACCGTCTGTCCGACAGCCCAGAGGGTTGCAGGTGTGAAGTCCGTGTCGACAATAAAGGTGAGTGTATGGGGGTCGCGCTCGTAGGGCGGTTTGAGTGGGCGACTAACCTTAACGTGCAAGGGTTTCCGCCGTTCGCTTCACAAGTGCACTTGCGCCTTTGTTTAAACAACCTTCAAAAGCAACACATTCGCTCTACCTCCTCGGCCCGGCAGCGTCATTTTTCTGCCAAAAAAGTCACTCCCCTCTTTTCCTTCACAAGTCCTCTTTACCTCGTTGCCGCTAATGAAGCACAAATGGGTCTCCCAGCCTATTTCACACTCCATACGAGTAGCCAGACGTTCGTCCACTTACGTGCACGAGTTCCCTAAATTGTATCTGCGGCAAAGCACCTATGGTTACGTTTTCATACTGTTCAAGCTACCCCAGGCCGTTCCTCGCGTCTTGATTTTGAACTTGTTGAAGTTTCTCCAAATTGATGGGTCGTCAGTCAAAAGTGTTTAGAAACGTTTTAGGCCACTTCGGACATTGTGTCCGATGATACCCATCGTGTGCTTTAACGGCCGCCTCGTTCGCAAGTCACTACCTCTTAAAGCACGCTCTGACGTAAAAACTTTCACCGACTGTAACAGTACGGACTTGTTTCAGTTTCAAGGCACTGGTATTCAAATAGCTTACTGTGTCACTGTGTGGCTTAGCTTCTCAGAACCGGTTATTAGAGTTTCTCGTTAACTGATGCCACCTTCGGATCGCGTTCCCCAGGAAAAGATATCGTGACCTACTCCTCATGTCCTGTAAAGACTTATGACGTGTTGATGACTAAAAGGTAAGCTGCTGCCAGTTGCCTCCTGAAACTCTTTATCCGCTGCACCTTGACGATTCGGTACCTCTCATAGTTTCTGTCTTGTTCCCTTAGCTGTAAACCACTACGACACACAGGCATCAGAGCTACGTATTTTACCACTCTCGACTTCAGGTACCAGCCTCGACAGTGAGGTACGCACAGTGTTACTCGCGGACGGTACCTAGCGCCCTCTTTCCGCTCGCGCCAGAGAAACGAGTCGCTGTTTCACGGTTATTGCTCCACTCTTGGATTAGTGTTTATAGTGACGTATATAAGTGGGTTCTCCGGAACGACGAGTATGCGAACTTTACTTTGTCCAGTATCCTGTAACAACAGGTTCTGTCACTTAGAGTATTTCAGGTCTCAAGACTACTAGTTAGTGGGCCAGTTAAGTTTTGAAAACAACCACGTTAGTCTCCGACTTAAACCACTGCAGGTATATGAAGTGACGACAGTCGCACCGACTCGTCTCGCACGGTGTGACTTCGCCAAAAAATTAAACTCCTTTCTTAGCGACTCAAGTAACGTTAGTCTTTTCCTGTTCGTAGACGGTGTCAATCACTGTCTGACTTCGCGAAACACTGGATCGCAAGGAACAACTGGGACTTGTGGAAAGAGTCGCTAGAGTTACCACTTCGAACGTCCCGTACCTTGACTGTAACAGTCGGTGTACCAACTTTCGTCGCAGTTTTCAAAGGTCGCCTTTTGACAGTGATGACGTCCCTGTTCGAGTCTGCTCTCACGCCCTAGTGATTGGGTAACAGGGGCTGGACGTTCCACAGCGTCCTCGCTTACACTCGACAAATGTAGTGGACCACAAGTCTGTTCTTTGGTGTTGAGTACCTTTTTGAGGTTCTCCTTAAGGTGGTGCGGCCGGCAAAGAGCCTGGCTGACAGTCCACTGGTGCTCTTCTCATACAGTTCGGATAAGGTCTCTAGGGACACGATAGGTACACGTGGGCGTTTCTTCTGGGACGTCTTTACGCCAAACGCTCGAGCTAGCTGGACGTCCTCTCTCGAGACTCCGGTGCTCGTCCGTGTATCAGTCTGTTTCTTCTAGAGTAAGCTCAGAGATGTCTTCCTGAAAGGGGTAGATGCATGGGGACGTGAAGCGGGTTGCTACGTAGGTCTCTTATCGACCGGCATGAGACAAAGCCTTCGTGTACATGGTAAAACACTCTTTTCGGAACGAGGTGGTAGAGGTGGTACCGGTAGTTGTTTAGGGTCGACTCTAGGTCCGACTGGCCTACGGGTAGATGTACGACCATGGAAGCATATCGTTTTTGCCTCTTACCTTGGTCCTGTAGTTTTCCTTATTCATCGGTTGTCTGCTGCTCGTGGCTATTTAGGGTAAGTTTCATCCTTTTCCATACACCTACTGTGTCCCCGTTATTATCGGGCTAAACACAATGTTTTATTGTTGTTGTTATTTATTTGTTGTCTACCTAACTACTTACTTATGACACAATAACACAGAAACCATCCGAAGATAAAATTTTCAAGAGAAAGAGAGGGAGGGGGGAGAGACAGTAGAGACGATATACATGAACGTCTCCTCTGGACATAGGAGCACACCACGAAGTCATCGACCTTAATCGCAAGACTTTGTCCCGGGACGACTATTTCTGTCCTTTAGGTGGTCGTATAGTGATTGAGCGCGTTCGCGTATGAGAGACACACACACACACGACACACACACACCGACCACACACACACACACACACACACACACACACCACACACACACACACACACAGTTCATTTCTTTCTAACACCACACAACCATACACAACTACAAGGCAAACAGAACCCGACACACGTTATGTTATAACCAATACTTAAAACTACCAGGAGTTAGCAGTAGTTTTGAACCTCGTTGCGGGATCGAGTGTGTCATGTCACGTTTTTGACCTCCTCTTTCTCTTTTTATAAATTGAGTCTCAGACATTAGGGATCCCGTTTCACTGCGGAAGATCACGTCCTCTCAGCCCGTCCTGCATTCGTCCTGAGACTTCGGTCAAAAAGCCAACGCGGAGAGCTCTAGTTTGTGTCAGACACCTATGCTCTGTGGAGTATAACATCGCTGAGTGAGTAGTTTTGACAGTTGAGGGCTCCTAGATCGTGACACTTGCTGCTCGACGTCCACCAGTAGTCCTACGACGTAGTTGTTTCATCTACTGTCGTTAACTCGGCCGGCATGCGTTCTGAAGCAGGGACTCATCACGTCTCTTTAACTCGGTGATTCGCTCGTGGCTTCGCAGTCTGTTATTAAGTTTACGACCTTCAGTTTCAGTCCACATAGCTCGCTACTTCTTCTCTTCCGAGTCCTGGCCTCTAGTCGTCTTCGGTCACGACTTCCTCTCTTCTGAGGCGAGGTGTCGCGTCGACCTCGAGGTCAGTAGTTTACCCGGCAACCGACAAAGTTGCGATCAGAATCACCGACGTCTTGAGTCGAATCTCGTCACCAAGGAGTTTACCCCCCATGGCGTCCTGGGGATCCGCGATGCAAGCCTCAATCGCCTCATGAAATAACAATACAATGACTTTTGTGTTTGTTGTATTCATTACGTTAACATTTGGTTGATGTGATTATGCGTCAATATAATATCGATTCAAGTAAGGTGTCCATTGTCATTAAGACCTATGAAATTATTATTTTATCCGCTTTTCTCTGTGGGCAAATAAAAGGTTAAAAATATCTTATTAGGCCTTAATGCCAAGTGGAAGAACTTACTTGATCAATTATTATGTAATCCACACAAAATTACGGTAATGGGAAGATGACAACCAAAAAAGTAATTGTATTTTATTTAGAGTACATGAGGTTGCACTGGGGATCCCAGGCGCATGGGCGGTAAACTCTTGGTGTGACGTAAGATGTTCGACTAAGACGTGGTCTTTGCCATGTACTTTGTCGTTGCGGGTAAACTACTGACCTCGAGGTCGACGGACAACTTCCGCCTCAGAGGGATAGTCCTGACCGAAGGGCGACTGAGGCCGAGGACGAAGAGAGAAGAGGGAGTGGAATGAGGGCAGTGTTAGGTGGTATATGGAGACAGACTCCGGAGCCAGTTACTCACAACTTCCCGTTTGTTTCAAATCAAGCTAGACGGGTAGTAGAAATAGAAAAAAAGCTACCTGGAGGATACTGCGTGGAAGTGAGAGGAAGGGTGACGGGGGGAGCCCTATCTTTACTGACGATGTTATACCTCCACACGAGAAATAGGAGACCGACACAAACAGAGCTCCTTCCGCGACCCGAGTCTGTTAGGAGAATGTTACGTGGACGGCATCTGTGATCTTCGGTGGAAGGGATTTCTAATGTGAGATCCAATGATAAAAGAGAAAGAAAGGTAAAACTGACATGACAAATCTCGTCCCCAAGAGTTTCAAAAACTACTCAGCTCCGCGGTTAGAATATGGGTTAATAACGTGACTCCCGGCGGGTTCCTTTTTTGCCTTGTGTTTTAAGGTTTTGTTTAGAAAGGAAATAACGTGTGTGTGTGTGTGTGTGTGTGTGTGTGTGGTTGTGTGTGTGTGCTGTGTTGTGGTGTCTCTACCGCGACCTAATCACTATACGAACCTTAAAGGACAGAGATAGATCGTCCGGGACAAAATCTTGATTAAGGTCGATGAGTTGCGGGTGTCCTCTCCAAGCACGTTCTGTTCTTGTCTTCTTCTGTGCTCTCCCCCTCCCCTCCTTCTTTTCTGAAAATTTTTATCTTTCGAATGGTTTCGGTGTTATACTGTGTCCATAAGTAGTAGTAGTACACAGGTGAATAATAGCACAACAGAACATACAAGCATTGTGTTTAGCCGCATAGTATAACGGGACAGTAGTTGTATGGAAAAGGATGGACAACTCTACCGCTGACATACTCCACGACACAGACAAAACCGATGAAAGGAAACTACAGGCCAGGTCTAGAGGCAACAACGATATTTCCTGTCGTACATCTACCCGGTAGCAGGTCGGCCTAGAGTGCGACCTAAACAAGCTACGGTACCACCTCCTTCCAAAGGTGTGTACTAACGAAGGCTTGTCTTCTCCGGTAAGACTACGTACAGACCGCTTCACGTCCCATGGCATCTACCCCTTTCAGAAACATCTTGAGCCTGACTCTAAGAACAGAGCTAACGACGAGACCGGAGGTCGTCACGAGACGTCCAGCTACTCGAGCTTGCGTAAGACGTCCGAGAAAGAACCCACGTGTACACTTCCCTAGAACCTTTCATCCAACTTGCTAAGAGCGACCAGGACTCAGGCTCTTCGCCACCACCTTAAGGTGAGGACCTGACAAAAGGTACTGAACACACCACAGTGACAGCAGACTTGTGTCCACTACATTTTGGTGTACAGTGGACGCTCGTGGGAACGTCCGCCCTTTTACCAATTCTAGCGGGAAGACTCGACAGGGGACGTGATCAACTTAAAGAGCAGACCTTTCGGAACTTCGGAAAAGTTTCGTTACCCTTTACTCGAAGGGTAATCCGGGACGTCGAGTGTCAACTCTGCGACTCTTTCCGCACACCAAGTCGCAGTTGTTGCCTTGCGATCCCTAGTGTTTCGGTAAGTCACAGTGAAATTGACACCCGCTCTAGAACAGGAAGAACTAGCACGTACTTGAGTCGCGTAAAAAGGGCGAGTTTAATTTTTTTGGAAGTCACCAGCCGTGGAGATGAGGCGCACGTCGGTGGTGCTCGTCGACGCTCTAGGCATTGACTGCCAGTGGTTTAAGTCGGAGAGCACTAACGTGGCATTTCTTTCAAGACTTAACTGGCACTAAGTCTTGGAGACCTGAAATACTTTAAGTGACAGAACTGTTGTGTTACGGTAGCTGTACAGAGTAAAGGTTCGCTACGTCCGTCGGTTCCCAGGAACGCCAACCTTTTTAATACGGTCACGATAAGCACTAATCCAAGGAGTGGAGGCAGATAAGCGGTGAACAACAACGGGACTTCGTTTCTCGCTGTCGCAGGTGGAAAGAGGGTCTTGGTAGCCGGACCGCCGACGTGCGGTAGCGAACACTGTGGCTGGTACGCTGACAGTCGAGTTGTACACATTACTGTAGGCTCTGATGCCTGTGTGTCAGTG